CTTCCTCCTCTTGGCTTTGTGTATGTGTGTGTGACCAAAGCCTATTTTAAAAATGAGGAAAGCAAGCCCAGGACGTTGGGGAGCGAGCCACTGAACCTCTCCAGGGCCAAGAAGACGTTTGTCAAACATTCCAGGAGGCGAGCCAGGCAGGCCCTGGGTTCCTGGCCTCCCTCTGTGTCTGCAGCTTCTGGCTGGGGGAAGCTGCCAAAGCACTTTCTCCATGAGCCCTGTTCCCTGGTGCTTCAGAAGCAAAGCCTCTACTCTCCATGTTGGCACCTCGTGCAGCAGATGAAGTCTGGCTTAGCCCAAAGTCCAGGCCATTCCTGGCCTCTAGCCTGTCCCACTCTTAGGGCTTTGAGAGGTGACCAGGGGCGTGAACCGTTGCACCGGGGCACACTGTCCCAGGCAGCGCTGACCAGAGAGTTGTGTCGGTCGAGAGCAACGCAGTTCCACCTGATCTCCTGTGGGCTGGGGCTTCACTGAGGCCAGGCTCTGGATCACAAGGGCCTCTGTACCTCAGATGCTATGGAGCTTGTTTTTTTTTTTTTTTTGGTGTTTTCTTTTATATCAAACAATGCCAATTAAGGGCATTTTTTTTTCAATTTCCGAAGAGAAAGCCAGTTATATAAAAAAAGAGGAGAGCAAGAAGAAGAAAAGGGAAAGGAGATGAAAAAGATTAATGGGGATCTAAATTTAAATTCTGACTCTCTTGGAAAGAAATTAAAAATAAAAAAGAAAAAGATGTCCTGGCTTTAGTTTTGATGCATTCTTGCTTCAGTGGAGAGCTCTTCTGTTTGGGTTATTCCTTTCTGTGGGGACTGGCGGAGGTCTAGGACTGACGAGGTCTTTGGCCTTTTTGAGGCAGTTCATGGCTGTCTGCCCATAATCCAGTTTGGCCTCAGATCCTGCATTTGGAATACTCTGCTTCTTTTTCTTCGTGTTTTCTCCCCGCAGTGTTCTGGAACATTATCCTGAGGAGTATTTTGTTCATCATAGATTCTGATGTTTTTCCTTCCCCTGATGTCCTGGGGACTGTGTTGCTGCCTTGGGCCTCTGAGTGGCTAAAATAAGGGGTGGCTCTGGTTTTGGAAGTTCAGCTGTCAGTGTAGTTGAAGCGCCTTGTCTCAGCTCAGCCAGCAGAGAAGCCAGTCTCAAGAGGGCTCAGTAACAGAACTCAATCAACCAGAGGGTGTAGAGTGCAGATCTGCATTGCTAGTGCCTGGGGACGTCAGGACGCTTAGCTTCCAGGACACTTTTGGCAGAGACTGAATTCCCTTGTCTCTGGGCTTTGGTCTCATTCCAAAAAGAGGTTGTGCCAAGTTAACTCTTAGTCATGATGAGTTGTCTTGAAGATGTTCTGAGCCTTGTTTTAATTTGAGGATTATATTCTTTTACCCCAGCAAGAAAATATTGAGTGTGATGCTTTCAGGGCTATGTTTACTGTTTTGTTTTGTCTTGTGGCTTTGTTTCCTTACTTTTCATTTCCATTTGTTTTATGTAAGGGTTAGGGTTTGGATGTGAGGTATCCCCCAAAGCTCCTGTGTTAATATAGAGATGTTCAGAGGCTAGGTGACTGTAGTGTGGGGCTGTGACCTCATCTGTCCTTTCTAGTGTGAATGGACTGGCTGGGTGGAGACTGTGGGTAGGCAGGGCTGGCTGGAGGAGGAGGCACAACTGGGGGCTGCCCTGGAAGGGGGYATCTTTCCTCTGGCCCTTTCCATTCTCTCTGCATCCTGACCCCGCTGTGAGCTAAGCAGCTGTCCTCTGCTGGGTCCGTCCCCCATGATGTCCTGACTTATCTTGAGCCCAGAGCATAGGCTGAGGCCTCTGAAACCATGAGCCCCAGATAAACTTCCTCCTGTAAGTTGTTCCTGTCACTGGGTATTTTGGTCACAGCAATGCCAAAGCTAATAAAAAAAGAAAAAACAATAAGTATCAGGGCGTGTGGGGAAACTTCAAACAGAGCAGAATAGGAAAAGGAAGACCTCTCATGCGGACGTGGGCAGCTTCCTGTCCAGAGGTTCCACTGTTCTCAGTGTCAGGCGGATGCCTCTGGAGGGCAGTGCTGCATGGATGTCATGTGCCCCTCCTTTCTGGCCATAGAACATGTGGCTCTGCACCTTGTGACTCTGCCCCTCTAGACCACGTTTCTGAGAGATCGTTCGATAGAAACCCTACAGAACTTCCTCACTCTTTGGAATGATTATGTAGGATGTCTCTGAAGGTGCAGCCCGTGCTCCCTGGTATGCACAGTCCTTGACCTCAGCTCAGTCTTGGGCTGTTATGAGCAGTGCCATGGTGAGGGTCCTGTGGTAATGATGCTGTCGGCTTTGAAAACAAAGCCATTGTGTAAGTCCGCTCTCTCCAGACACCATGGTTGGTGACCAGAGAGGTCTGGTCTGAGTGGTGGAGTCTGGGTTGATGGAGGTACCCAGTGGCTCTACCATTACTTCCTGTGGGTGTCTCATCAAGGCTGGTGTTGCAGACCAGCAAGGTGTGGTTTGGGAAGAGCTCTTCTCTGGTCTCACAGTCCCCCAGATGAGAAATAAGACATTAGCAGTGTCCCCGAGAGTTCCAGGTCACCGTGAGAAGCTGAGAGGCCAAGTGCAGTGCGTGGGGTGAGCCTGGTTCCACGTGCCATCTAGGGAAAGCTGCTGAAGACGGTCCCACTTGAATCTGAAGTTACCAGACCCGAGTCAGTTTTTAAAAATATTTTAAACTTCTGGTTTATAAAAAAATAATTCGGATTAATAGCCTGTACAGATATTGAAAATATTGAGCATTTGTTGTTGTTGTTGTTGTTTACAGAAAAGTAGGAGCATACTTTTCTAGAAGGTTCAGAAATGTCTGTCCCTTGAAGTGACCACAATTCTTTCCTCACACCCTCTGCATGTCTGGGTTTTTCTGACTGGATTCTATATGTAAGCGATAGTTTCCCTGGGAACCTTGTATGCACAGCCTTTGACCTCCCACTTCCGCCTGCCGTGGAATTGAGGTAGTTACGCTCTAGCAAGCTCTAGACATTTCTGTTATTTTGGCATCAGTCAGAACTGTAGTCTCCCCCCCCCCACACACACACACTTCAGTTCTGAAACTAAGAGTGTAGGAGGTAGCCAACTGTCCTCATCTACTGATGCTCATGATTCATGGATTCAGCATGAGTATGGCCTGCATGCTGCACATACATTCAGTACCTGGGTGATTAGGACACCATAGAATCCATTCAAGAAAATTTAGTTACAAGATATGTTTCCACATTATATTCATAGCAAATGGAAGATTTAGAAGATTTAACTTTGGGGGCTATAGTTCAATGGTAGAGTGTGTGTTTCAAAGACAAGGCCAGCCAGGCACAGTGGCCCACACCTGTAATCCCAGTGACTTGGGAGGCTGAGGCAGGAGGATCAAAAGTTCAAAGGCAGCCTCAGCATCTTAGCAAGGCCCTGAGGAACCTAGTGAGACCTTGTCTCAAAATACAAAATGAATAACTTAAAGTTATTTTATTTTAAGGGCTGGTTCAATGGTTAAGTACCCCTGGGTTCAATCCCTGCTTAAAAAAAAAAAATCGAAATAATAAAAGGACAAGGCCCTGGGTTCAATCCCAGTACCAATAAATAAAATAAATAAATTGAAGTCTTAGAACTTAATTAAAATACATGCATTAAAAAATCTTTTAAAATAGTGAGATCAAATATAGCAAAACTCCTAATTTTTTTCTCAGAAATGAAATGAATATATAAAATTATGCCTTCCTGTCTTTGGTCCTGACCTAGAAACTAAAGTGTGGTTGTCTTTATTATATATTAGCCTGGCAGAAGTGAAGCAAATTTGACTGGTGAACAGGAGGAAAAACTGGAACTATTTTTTGAGATAGGTCCTCATTGTATTGCCAGGCTGGCCTTGAACTTCCAGACTCAGGGCTTAGCACTTTCTAAAATTTTTTTTTTTTTTTTGTGTGTGTGTGTGTGTGTGTGAGATAGTGAACAGCAATCATGGATATGTTAAAGGATTTAAAACTTTGATTTTTTTTCTTTCTTTCTTATTAAAGTTGTTTGGGGAGTTACTGGAGAGTGACATTGGCCAGATCCATGCTTCATATAGTGTGCCTGTACAGATACATGACTACAGACCCCATAGTGTCATATGCAGTCATAGGAAATAAGACACGAAGATCCTTGCACACACAGTTATCTCCATAGCAATAGAAAAAACTGCAGTGTCCTACCATAGCCCTAATGGAGACATTCCTACAGTTCACCAGTTTTATTCAGAATGCCCAGTGTGGTTGGGGGTGGAGAACTTGCTTAGCGTGTGCAAGGCCTGTGCCACTGCGCCCAGCTTGGGACTTCTTTCCCAGGGCAAAGTTCTCGATCCTAAAAATTGACTGTTGGTAAGTGTAAAATAGATACTGCCTGCCTTGGTACTGTACCAAGTAATCTGTCTCTCACTGATTTTCCCTTTGTAAGATCAGCTATTTGTTGTTCTCAGTCTGATACTTTCTCCTTAGTGGAGCTGAGATTTCTTGGGGTGTCCCTTTCTAAGAAAGCATTAACGGGCTCCTGCTTGCGTTGAGTTCCCATGTTGCTGAGCATTCACCCAATCCTCGATGGTCTTGCGCAGCCACTGAGCACTGGCGAGCACATGCCCTCGTCAGCTCTTGAGAAAGTGCATACACAGCCTTAGAGGTCCTGGTGAACTCTCTCATGATCTGTGATGACGTTTGTGGAATCTGCTTGATTTGCCATTGTGTTCTATGTAAAGCTTAAGATGTACTCTGCACATGGAGAAGATGTGAAGCAAGGTTCCCAACAGACAATAAAACCAAGACTGGGTGATCAGGAGTGAATTGAATTAGGTAATAGTTATTTAAATAGCAAAGCATAACCGGAAAGTGCTGTGGAAGGAGTCTCGGGAATCCATACTTAAAAAGCACATCGCATCTTCTTTTTGATAAGGTGTCCTAGGCCCTGTCACCTATCCCATGTGTGTTCTTCTTCTAGTGATGAGTCACCAACACCAGCAGCAGATGGCGCCCAGCACCCTGAGCCAGCAGAACCGCCCTTCTCAGAACCCGGCCGGGCTCATGAGCTTGCCTACCGCCTTGCCCACCGCCCTGACCACACAGCAGCAGCAGCAGCAGAAGCTGCGGCTGCAGAGGATCCAGATGGAGAGAGAGAGGATCCGCGTGCGCCAGGAGGAGCTCCTGCGGCAGGTAGGCCTGCGAGGTGCCCCTGGAGATCCTGCGGCCTTGGTGGCGGGACTGATGGCAGCCAGGAGGGCAGGGCTGATGGCAGCCAGGAGGAGCTCCTGCGGCAGGTAGGCTGCTGGGTGCCCTGGGAGGCCCTGTGGCCTTGGCCTCGGTGGCAGGGCTGATGGCAGCCAGGAGGAGCTCCTGCGGCAGGTAAGCTGCATGGTGCCACTGGAAGCCCCGTGGCCCTTGTGGCCTTCAGTATGAGCTTCCTTTGTCTGGAAGCCCTAGAGGCCCAGAGCCTAGCTCTAAGCCTCATGGTAGAGTGGGTCTCTTCCCCTGCTTCTGCCTTCGCTGTGGTGGGAACCAGACTTGCGTACAGGAGGAGCTCTGGCTGTATTTGCAAGGTGGCCTTTGGCTTCCACTGCTATCGTTTAGTGCAGTTTGTGACGTGTCTGTCACAAACTGCTGTGTGACTCTCTTCTCCACACCTCATGGCCCGGAACAGCCATTTCAATGTGTCACTCAATTTTGTAGGTCAGGAATCTGGAAAGGGCCCAGCTGGGCTCCTCTTCCTCTCTGTATGGCATTGATGGGGTCACTTGGTGGTAGTCACCTGTTAGGCGGGATGGTCCAGAGGGTTAGGTGTGTGGTGCTGTGTCAAGGATTCTGGAAGCCTGGACCTGACTGGACTGAGGCCTGGTCGTCAAGGAGGGGCGTCTATAGCCTCGCAGTGTGAGAGCAGCAGGGTTTACTCCATACTGCTGGGTCTCCAAGAGAGAATGTTGACAGATGGGCCAGTGCCGAGGGCTGGTTCTGAAAACTGCTGTGGGGCCCCTCTTGCTGTTTTTGGTCAGATCACTCACAGAGCAACCCTGGATGAACAGAGACAGCAGGGGAATGTTCCACGGAAGCAGTGACTCATGGTACATGTCCCTCTGGCCTACCACAGAGCATGAAAGAGAATTGAAGGGAGGGGGGAAACTGGCTTGTCTGTGGACCCTTCTGCTCTGCAAAACAGCCTGGGCATGTTGATGGGGCTCTTGTGTGCCTCGCTCCATGCACCCCACTTTCTGGTCAACAGAATGTTGCTTTGTGTCTTCTGAGGGTCAGGCTCTGCCCTGTCCTTCAAGCATGAACAAAAGAGAACCCATTGTCTCCCTGCTTTAGTGGCTTGGTTTGTGGTAGAACAGTATTCTTTTTTTCTTTTTAAATAATTATTTCATTTTATTTATTTATAGGCAAGCACTCTGCCACTGAGCTGTAGCCCTAGCCCCAGAACAGTATTCTCTTTTTGGGGTGGGGATGTGGTACTGGAGATTGAACTCAGGGGTGCTTAACCACTGAGCTGCATCCCCAGCCCTATTTTATATTTTATTTAGAGAAAGGGTCTCACTGAGTTGCTTAGCCCCCCCCCCCGCCCCTTTTGCTGAGGCTGGCTTTGAACTGGCCATCCTCCTGTCTCAGCCTCCTGAGTCGCTGAGATTATAGGTGTGCACCACCGTGCCTAGCCCCAGAAGAGTATTCTTTTTTCTGTGTTGCTTAACTAAATGTCATCCACCTCTGCAGGTATCATACATTTTTCTGGCTTTATCTTAGGGAAAAAAGCTTCCGTTTATTGTTCTAACTCTTTATAATGATTCAAGGGAAACAAGATACATGGCCTGAGTCCTTTTGCTGCTTTAAGGAAAAAAGTAGATCTGGCTGTTCCAGAGAGCTTTCTAATGGGGAGTCCTGGGGGTGATAGGGTAAACACTTGGAAAAATACTCAATAACTTCTATTAATGACATTAATGTATTTTCTATCAGATAAATTCTAGGATATAAGGCATCTCTTAGTACATGAGGTTTAACAGGCATGGTGAATGAAAATCACTTCTTAGACGTGGCTTTTGAAACAAGAGGAGTGAAGTGCAGTGTGCCCTGCTGCTGGCTCAGCCCCCAAGCAGAGTAGAAAGGCAGCTCCAGGGTTTCTGCCTGGACTCTCGTGGCTATTTCAGGGTAACAGTTGTTGATACCGTTTTTAGATATACAGGATCATGTTTCTTGGCAGGAAATCATTGTATTATTGTTTTCTGTCTTGGGTGATGATTCTACTTTACATGGCATTACGGTAGCTTTTGTAGGTTCTCTGTTAGTTTCATATTTCAATGAGCTTGCTGTGTTCGTGTGTGAGTGAGACCTCTTAGCAAAGAATGACTTGCTTCTGTTTTTGCCTCCTTGCTGTTTCTCTTTCTCTTGCCCCGCCTTCTTCTTTCCCACAGAAAGTATTTCTGGGAAGGGGTGGGAAAAAATGCCCCAGAGTGTTGCCTGATTCCAGCTGTAGGTGCTTTTGAACCACAGGATAATATTGATGGTTCATGTTACATGCCAACCACATTCCTTAAATGCTGGTCCCTAGAGGCTGTGGCACTTGGGTCATTTTGCTGCATCATGGTGTGCAATACCCCATGGAGCCCAGTGAGGAAGAAAGGCTGTCCAGTGTCACTGGAGGCCCCCACTGCCCAGCCCTGACTGTGTGTGCATGTGTTAAAAGTTGTTTGGAATGGATAGTTCTGATGTCTTTTTGTTTTTGTTATTGGACAGGAAAAAAAGGTCTAAATAGATTTTTTAATCCTGGAAGTTTTTTTTCCCTATCCCAAAGCAACATGCCCCACCATGTGTCAAAATTGTCTTTGAAGGCTGTGTAATAAATGGTGGGGAGGAGTGTCCTATTGCAGTTTTCTGAGCATCTGTCAGGAGCTCTGATAACACAGGTGTGGATTGTTCATATCATTTTGATAGCTGTTTGACTATTTTCGTTTGGTGACTTTCCTGCTTCTGTATTTGTAACAGAGCCAGGGCAAGGGCAGAAAATGGGCTGGATGGAAAAGTGGTCTTTGGCTTCTCTGCTGAGCTGCCTCCCCCATGAGGTAGGAATTTGCAGGGATGGAGCAGTGGCGATCCCACAAGATTGAAAAGTCATCTATAGACTTGCATTTGTTCTTTCCATCCCACCCATGGCCTTGGTCATCAACAGCTGCCTGATGATCCCTTGCTTGGTGGGCAGTTTGTAAAGACCTGGCTCTCCTTGCTTGTAGGAGATCCCTAATTGTGTAGCCTGTCTTCTTAGGCCCTGGTCCTGCAGGCAGGCCCAACCCTCCTGTAATTCTACCAAGGGAGAATCTCCAGGGGAGGCCTGAGCTATGCTCTGACTCTATAGGAAGTAGAGAGATTGATAAAATTTAATAAGTAGAAGAATTTATTTCCTAATTCCTGTGACATTGTCACTTTTGCATAKTTTTATCATTCTTAAATGACATGATGAATGTGAAAGATCCTGAAGTGATCTACTGTGTGGGTCCTCAGCTGTGCTCCTCCTCCTACCCCTGCTCCTCCTGTTCCTCCTCTGCCTCCTGCTCCTCCTCCTACCTCCCCCCCCCCGTCTTCCTGTTCTTCCTCCTACCACCGTCCTCCTCCTCCATCTCCTCCTGTGCCTCCTCTTCCTCCTTCTGCTCTTCCTGCTCCTCCTCCTGCTCCTCCTCCTCCTATTGCTGCTCCTCCTGCTCTTTCTTTTCCTCCTTCTCCTCTTCCTGCTCCTCCTCCTCCTCCTCCTTCTCCGTCTCTGTTCCTTGGCATGTGGCGTTAGATGATGCTCCACTAGGGAAAACATCTCCTTGGTGCTGTGCACCATCTGACTCATACTTCACGATACCAAGGAGTCATGTGTGAGTTTGCTGGCACTAGATTCTTAGTGCCAGGATTTTAACAAAATGGGTTAGCACAGGATTTTAACAAAATGGGTTCAAGGGCCAGTTGATAACAAATTTAAGTGAAGCACCATTATTTAAGGGTGGAAGCTCATTTTTTGTTTGTTTGTCTCCTCATTCATCTATTCACTTATCCAATTTTATATTGTAGAAAGTAATAGAAAGATAGCGGGACATGGGAGGCAAACTAATTAGACSGAATTTAAGTTGTGGCCAGAAAAGTAAATTAACACCATTTCCTCCTTCATGAGGGCCCAGTGGTTGCCATATTTACTTTCAAATTATTGGGGATGAGACTACACACACCAGACTTCTGTGAAAGTGACAAAAGTTGTTTCTTCATCTCTTTCCAGTGACCCTCAGACTAACAGGCAGTTAAACAACTACAGAATAAATGGATCAAAGTGCCAGTGAGGTTTGGTATTTCTACTGATTAGCAAACTTAACTAGGAGAAATCCTTCACTATGATTGCAGTCACTATGATTCAGCAATGGCTGCTGTATCATCAGAATTGAACTGCTTATATCTGATAATTGATGAATTRTCTCAGGATGTGACAGGAACTTCAGATGGAGGGCACCATGGAGCTTTGGGAGGTCCTGTCAGGTGTTCTGCTCAGAGGCTTTATTACAAAACTGGATCTCTCCCTACTTTCACCAGGAATCTACCACARGCATTACAGAGAATGAATTTTCATGAAAGCCATTTTCCATGTCTGTGATAGAGTTCTATCTATTTATCTATCTACTTATCCTTCCAAACTGTCTATCTGGGGAGATTTGATCCAGGACCTCACACATGCTAGGCAAGTGTTCTACCACTGAGCTGCATCACCAGCCCTTTTAATTTTATTCCAGGACAGGGTCTCACTAGGTTGCTGAGGCTGACTTTCTAGAACTTGCCATCCTCCTGCCTCAGCCTCCTGAGCAGCCAGGATTATAGGCATTTACCATCACACCCAGCACAAGAAAGCAATTTTTAGTACAAGGTTTACTTTTCTTTTATCTTCATTCCTGGCAGAGTTTTATTTTGACCATATTTTCCAAAGGCTACAAGGTAACTTCAGAATCATCCCCCAAATGACAACCTGAGAAAACAAAGCAATTTTTTTTTGGGGGGGGGTGGGCTACTAGAGATTGAACCCAGGGGAGTTCTACCACTGAGCTACATCTCTAGCCTTTTTATTTTTTAATTTTAAGAATGGGTCTTATTGAATTGCTCAGGCTGACCTCTAACTTGTGATCCTCCTACCTTGGCCTCCCAAATTGCTGGGA